CTTAAGTGATGGATGGCCCTGATGTGGAGGTGCTGTGTATGGTTTTCTGACAAGCAACTCAAGTGAAAAACAAGCCCACTGCTGTAGTTGCCAAGACCTTCAAGGGCCAGGGCACTCCAAGCCTCGAGGGTGCAGAAAATTGGCATGGAAAGCCAATGACAACAGAAAGAGCAGATGCAATTATCAAACTAATTGAGAGCCAGATAGCGACCTACAGACAGCTTGAACAAAAGCCCCCTGTTGAAGACTCACCTAAAATCAACATCACAGACATAGAGATGACCTCTCTGCCTGCTTGGAAGTCGGTGACAAGGTAGCTACTCACAAAGCATGTGGTTTGGCTCTGGCTAAGCTGGGCCATGCAAATGATAGAGTCATTGTGCTGGACAGTGACACCAAGAACTCCACCTTCTCCAAGATATTCAAGAAGGAGCACCAGGGTTAAAAATGGAACTCCCATTTGACCCAGTGATCCCACTTCTAGGAATATATCCCAAGAAGCCAGAAACACCAATCAGAAAGGATATATGCACCCCTATGTTCATAGCAGCACAATTTACCATAGCGAAGATCTGGAAACAGCCTAAGTGCCCATCAGCAGATGAATGGATTAGAAAACTGTGGTACATCTACACAATGGAATACTATGCTGCTGTAAAAAAGAAGGAATTCTTACCATTTGCAACAGCATGGATGGAACTGGAGAGCATTATGCTAAGTGTAATAACCCAGTCAATGAAATAAAAATACCACATGATCTCACTCATTTATGTCTAATAAAGACCATTATAGACTGATGAACAAAAATAGATACAGAGGCAGAGCAGCATCGAACAGACTGTCAAACTACAGCGGGAAGGCCGGGGAGGATTGGGGGGTGGGGGTAAGAGATCAACCGAAGGACTTGTATGCATGCATATAAGCATAACCAATGGACACAAGACACTGGGGGGTAGGGGAGGCCGGGGGAAGGTCAAAGGGCAAAAAAAGGAGACATATGTACTACTCTTTATAATACTTTAAGCAATAAAACAAAATTTAAAAAAAAGGAGCACCAGGAATGCCTCATCAAATGTTTTATTGCCGAGCAAAAAATGGTTAACGTGGTGAATGCCATCTGTGGTGGGACCATTGTTTAGCACCTTCGCTGCCTTTTTAACCCGAGCATTTGATCGGGTCTGGGTTGGAACCATCTCTCATACCAACATCCACATTATTGGGTCCCACTGTGGACTATCCATTAGTGATGGTCCTGGAGGATTTGGTCATGTTCTGAGCAGTTCCCAACTGCACCATTTTCTATCAAGTGATGCAGACTGACAGAGCATGCTGTGGTCCTGGTGGTCAATACCAACGGGATATGCTACATTCAGACCAATGGACCCAAAACTGAGGTTATATACACCCCACAAGAAAGTTTTGAGATTTGACAGGCCAAAGTCATTAGCCAGAGTGTCAACAATAAGGCCAGTTATTGGAGTTACTCTGCATAAAGTCTTAGCAATTGTTGATGATCTTTCCAAACAAAATATCCATCAACCTGTTTACCATTAAATCCCTGGATGCTGACATCATCATCTCTAATGCAAAAATGCACAGATGGCCAAATATCACAATAGGGGATCACCACCCAGAAGGTGGCATCGGGGAGGTCTGTTCACCTGCTTCTATGGAGCCTGGCATTCTGGTCCATGGGCTGGCAGTGCCAGGAGTTCCTCCAAGTGGGAAGTCTAGTGAACTCCTGAATATGTTTGGAATTAGTGCCAAACACATTATAGTGGCCATGAAATGTATGTTAACAAACTAAAATACTGTTGACATCTCTACATTTATGCCTGTTAAACCATCATTTAAATCTATAATGTGTGTTCTTTGTTGTTCTTGAAAGCAAAGCAAGTTAACTACCTTCCAGTTAAGTCATAACTACATATATAAGTATAACTCTCATCTTTAAGTAATTAAAGTAGGTTATAAGATTTTAAATGACAGAAGAGCTAACAAAACAACCACATAAAGTTTTATGATGAGACTATAGATATCTAGGTTGGGGATCAACATAAGGTTGCAGTTTCTTAAATGTGGGTATTTTCCTCCTAAGTAAAGAAGATGTGAACTGTAGACTGCAACTACCTGGGTTATGCAGCACTATAGTGCCATGCTGTATGTACTGTTGTCCCAGGTTGAGAATTTATGTGCTGACATCCTGCCTGCAGCTTCCTGGGTACCATGTAACTGCAGATGCCCTGGAATTATATCACCCCTCTAATGGTGTGTGGAGCAGCCATGAAAGCTCTTAGATTGTCCTCTGCTGCTCGAGGTGACTAGTTTGAAGAGAAGATACAACTAGTTCTAGTCTCCACACTGCACTCTTTTGTGAGGTCTCAATGTCTCATTTGCCTGATGATCAGACCAAACTGTTAGCTCAATTATATTCATCTACTAGTTAAAGTTAATGAAGCATTTTAAAAAAATTCCAATGTAGTATAATCCACTAGGACCGTGGTCGGCAAACCACGGCTCGCGAGCCACATGCGGCTCTTTGGCCCCTTGAGTGTGGCTCTTCCACAATATACCACGTGCGGGCGCGCACGTACAGTGCGATTGAAACTTCGTGGCCCATATGCACAAGTTGGTATTTTGAGGAAGAGCCAGTATTTTGTGGAAGAGCCACACTGAATGGGCCAAAGAGCCCCATGTGGCTCGCGAGCCGCGGTTTGCCGACCACGGCACTAGGAGAACCACAAGCAAGGTCATACCATATCTAGTAAAGATCTATACACCATTCAAATAGACGTTATTACAGACTAATAGTCCTTGGTTGAGATGGAGTATCTGACCATGGGACATAAAGTAACTTTGCAGCCAGAGATAACCATCATGAGCTGGGTTCTGTCAGATCCAGCAAGTCCTAAGTTGGGTGGGCCCAGCAGCAATCCATCACAAAATGGATGTTGACAGATACAAGACTGGCCATGAGTAGGGCCAATGGACACAATAAAGTTGCATCAGCTGATGGCCCAGATCCCCATGTCATCTTGCCACTATTGTGCTGGTGTTTACAACTATGTGTGATCTGCCTAGACCAGAGTGGTTGCTAGCTGAGACTGAGGCAAATCTACAATTGGTGGTGGAGAAGGGCACAAAGTACCAATTACTTCAAGCTTGAGATCCACTGCAGCTGCAGCAACTGTAGTTTTCCCACTAACTCTCTTTTGTTTCCTCAGCAATAAAGACCAACCAGAGTCTCGGGGTTGCTGGTTACTAGGTGGCAGGACTTACTGTAAGAAGCAAGTGGATCTGAGCACCACAAGGGCTGAACTATAACAGATACCCTGATGCTCCACGTATGCATGCGTATCTCCTCTCCAGGCCCAGGGCCAAGGCGCCCATCCTCCAGCTGCTGCTATTTTCTAGTCAGAACTTTTATAGCCTTACCACAGATATAAACTGAGTTAAATCCTCAACCCACAACTAGAATGAACCTTAATAATTTGCTAAACCTTAAAATTAACACTTTAAGTTGAACTAAAAAAAGTAAAAACTCTTAGGCAACTAGTCCAAATTGGAATCAAACCAAGCCATAACATCAGGTTTTCTCAGATCGAAACCCAAACCGAAGTGCCAGACACTTTGCACATATAGCCCTGGGTAGACTCTCTGTGGTCTTAGCAGCTCTTGCTAATTAGAAGCGCTTGACTTTCCCCCAGCAGTTTAGCAGATAAATGTCTTCCAAAGTGTGCTCCCACCTGAGGTTAGGGAAATTGGCTAGAATTTTAAAATTTTAACTTGCACACAGTTATCTATTTGGTTCAGATGGGGAAGAAAACATGAGTAATTTTTCAAAAATTAATTCCGTACCCCTCCCCCCCAGCATCATACTCTCCAAGTCACATCATAAAAATAAGTGACATCTGGCTGTGGTTAATTGTGAAGCAAATCTCAGTTCTCACCTAATTCTCTAAATATAAGGAGTGAAATCTTAACCTCATTAACAATGAGATTGCCTCACAATCAGACATAATCCTTGGGCTTCTCATTCCAAGAGGGTGGGGGAGGGAGCTCTTGCATTGTTGCTCACACTAGAGATAACAGGTCTGGGTGTAAGCCCCATGAGGGCAGGAACCATGCATCTTTGTATTCAGTACATCACTTAGCATTGTTGCCTGGCACTCAGCCTACGATCAATAAATAGTGATTGAATGAATGAATGAGGCTGCAGAGGTCCACAAACCAGCCTGCTTGTTGGCACGCTTTGAGGGGACTTTGGCCAGGACATTTTGAAAATGTAGCTCAACCAAGCAAGAATGGGCTCTTTTCAAGTTCTATTCTGTCAAGACTGCTGCCACTTTGTTCACACTTGGCATCGAAATCTAGCTGTACTGCCAGCCACATCCAATGAACTCAAGTTAGCAGTACCTGAAATAGCTGTTCTTAGCACTTTAAAATGGTAGCAAAAAGAACCAGGTTCAAAGGAATGAACCCACACTATAGGATGATTTTTAGAGTTTATTAAACAGTATGAGCTTGAATACATATAATAAGAGAGAGGAAGAGGGAGAGAGAAAGGAAAGGGAGAGAGAGAGAAGAGAGAGAGAGAGAGAGAGAGAGAGAGAGAGAGAGAGAAAATGAATCAGGTTTTCCTGGGAATTTTGGGTTTTAAACAGAGAGCCAGTGACCGGAAGTTGCTAAGTTGTCAATGACAGCTCTATAGAGGCATTAATGGATTTTAGCTTCTGAGGTCCTGAGAACTGCCATGGTCCAGTTCTCCCTGAGGAATGTTTGGTTGTTCAACTTTCTTGGGTTCCATGAGCTACCCGAGTATCTTTCCAGCAATTTCACTTTTACTTAAATTTTATCCTATTGGTTTCTGTTATTTGCAAAGAGAAGGAAAGCATTTTAGAGGAAGAATGGTGGTGTTGCTGAGGAAGTGGTGAGGTGTGGGAAGGAAAGCTGAATGGAGAGCTGGGGTGAAGGCTCTGAAAACAATCACCTTTCTACAGAGTCTGTATGGACCAGAGGCTGCCAACTGTCGACTGGAGCTCAGCAGAGGGCTGCCAGGGGCCACACTGAGTAAGTGAGATTGGTTTTTAAATATTCATTTCAAAAGCTGAGTGTTTTCTCTTTGCCCTCTTCTCTGCTTGGGAAATCTCCCCTACAGTTCTGGCCGCAACCACTTGTTTTGAATCTCCCTCCCTCAGCTTTTCTTTATCCTCCAAGGTGCTAACTAACTACCAATAAAAGGGCTACCTGGTCTTCTCTTTGATTTCAAGATATTTCTTTGAATTATTAGCCTTTTTATTGAGCCCACGGAAGGAACTCAAACAGTGACTAATCCTTGCCCCTTTTCTTTCTCTTCCCAAGTATCTCATTGTGAGAATGTGGAAAGCAAATCCTGCCTCTGCTTCAAGCTACCTATTTAGATGAATTTATTGGATGCTAATCGAAAGAAAAGGCTAAACTAGGAAAAGGAAGAGTTGTGGGTTTAAGAAAACTACACCAAATTTATGAAGGAGGAGGGAAGGAAAAGAGGAATTTAGACATTTATTTGTAACATGTCTTACTGACAGTTAAATACAGTGGTTTGCTCTGTTTCTGCCACTTGAGGGTTATTTAATTAAATTCATGCCTAGGATGCTAACCAGCTCCACATCTAAAATAATTGCTTCTCTGTTGGTGAGATGTAAAGCCAGGATTGATTTTCCCCTGGCCAATAGCTCTTCTTTTCTGAGTCATGAATGTCATCTCCACTCTCCTCCCCAAGTAATTTGATCTCTGTATTTGATCGCTATTTAGTAGTACACTTCGGTAAACAGATGTCTCAGTAATTAAAATCCCATATGGGCAGACTCATCAGTGAGTTACATCTACTTAATAGTCAGCTTAGAAGACTTTTCACCCTTGGCTCTTCTCTTGTCCTGGTGTCATATGTCACTGGACTTTAGCAGGATTTAAATATTAGAGTTCAAACTTGTGTTTGTTTTCCTGCAACTCTCTTTTCATTTTCTGACTACATTTTCCTCACAAAGCCCTGATCTCTTTCTCCTTTAACTCACCTGGATTTTCTGTACAGTTTTCCACCAGCATTCAAATTCTCATTGGATGAATCATTCTATTTTTCATTCATGCCAGCACCCGCAATAATAAAAATAATAATAAAATCAGAACAGTGTTGTTAGAACCATGGATTAAGAGTGACTTTTATTTTTTTCCCCTGAGGCGTAACCAAATATTTCAATCTGAATGGTCCCCAATTTTTTCTTTTTAACTATTTGAGATCAAATACAGGTCACTGAAGGATTTTGATGGCAACAAATTATAGAAAGAAAGAAAGCATGTTTGGAGTAGGAAAGGGAAGTTAAAGTTAGAAAAGGCTTAGTTATGGAATTTACTCACTTTTGAGAGAGGATTTAGATGGAAATATATTAAAATGTTTATACCTAAAGAGATAATTTCCTATGATAAATCTTATGATACCGATATTCCATTACATAAAACTTGAGGTTAATGCTGTAACTTATAGTAATAAAAGAATTTCCCTTGCAGTTGATGATGCATACTGATTTTAAGAACATTTAAAATAATTAGATAATATATGTATTTTTTCTGATACCTATCAATTCAGACTTGAACAAAGATCGGATAAATGAGTGGGCAACAGTCATAAAGCAAAAGGATTCGTTATTTTCCTACTTTAAAATGGATGGAGGTCCACTGCATTTAACATAGATCCTTTTATATAAATTTCTCAGAACAAGTATGTTTCTTGTGAATTCCTTTGAATTCACAATTTATTATGAAATAAAAAATAATATTATGAAAAAGCAAACAAGTTCAGAAGTTAACTAGTACTGTTTTAATTTTATGGAAGTAAATTCTAAAAGTATTTGTGTAAACTTTATTATCTTGATTGTATTTAAAAACTAGGTGAAAATCCTTTTGTGGAATGGGAGCTTCATTTTGGTGGTTTAGACATTTTTAGCCTTGTTATCTAAACTAACAAAGGCCAGGTAAATAAACAGAGATATAAATTTAACAACAGTCTTCTTAGATAAACAATGACAGGGATGAGGAGCTAATATTTCAGGAAGGTAGCCTCTGAGTTCAACATGATGGGAATGCTGGGAATGTGTTGTTTTTCACAGCTTATCATCTAGCTTTATTACAGACCTGATGGCTCGTGAGCTGGAATAATTTTCATTCTCACCAAGCTCAGGATAACCCCTCTTGTCTGTTCCCAGCTCTCTGCCCCTCCATGCAGCTTGTGGTTAATCCACTTTAGTTCAGGGCACATCTTTCTCTGACCCAAGCCTTTAAGCCTTGTTTTCTCCCCATTCATTCCTTATCACATGTTCATCCATGCTCTGCTATCAGCTTCTTTCAGGTCACTAAATAAAAAATTTAAAAAAATTACTAATTCCCATAACCCATTTTTGGCTTCCCACTGCCTTAGTGTAAGTTGGGGAGAATATTTCCTGACCTCCTCACAAAATTGTGAAGGTCAAAGGTGCTCTTGTGGATGAAAGGGCTTTCTTTGTATATGGTTACATGTGACCAAGGAGTTTGGGCTCCAGCTCCAAGTATCTGGCTCAAATATAGCTTCTAGCATTTTCCTATCTGTCTGAACTTCAACAAACTATGTAACTTTTCTGTTTTTTGGTTTCCTAATGTGGAAAACAGAGATCATAAAAGCACCTAAATCCTGGGTGATGGTTGTTTCGTTATGGTTACATGAGATCATTCATGCATATTATAACGTCAGAACACGCTTAGAACAGTCCCCACGGTAAGTCCCAATAAGTGCTAGCACAATCCCATTGAGGTTAGCCAACTTCCTCACAGCCTCACGTCTCTCCAGCCTCTGGGACCTGTTCTCATTTGGGCATTTCAGAAAGCTAGGCTATATTCCTCAGGTGTGGTCTGTGACAGCTAAGGATGGGAGTGGGGTGTAAGAGTCCTGGCTGAGGATTGGCAGGTACTTAAAAAAAAATAAATGTTTTTTGTTGATTTTAGAGAGAGAGGAAGGGAGAGGGAGAGAGAGAGAGAAACATCGATGGGAATTGATAGGCTGCTTTCTGCATGCTCCCTACTGGGGATTGAGCCCACAACCCCAGCATGTGCCCTGATTGAAGTCAAACCGGTGACCGGTACATTGAGCCACACCAGTACTTTTAACAGTTGTCTCTATATTGTGTTTACTCTTCATAGCTTCCCCTGGTGATGACTTTATTTTGGATAAATTATGTTGCTATTCCAGTTTGCTACCTATTTGTATTTAAAGTCACAAAAATATGTACTTTCTACTCTAGAAAATGGGGATAGTAAGAATACCTACCCCTGGGCTTACAATGAGCTAAATCAAGTGAACCTCTTCCAGAGGATCCAGGAAAGCACAATATTCTAGGGATGCTTTTGAAAAAGAAATTGGAGGAAAAGGAATTTGTAATACAAATATCATCTTGTACACATGAAATGAGGTGGAAATAAACAAAACAAAGCATACAGACAACAAAAACCTAGCATTCTAAAAGGGGACAAATGATTCTTCCAAATGAATGCTCTTCTTCAAAGTGGTTCCTTCTGAGTTTATGTCCACAATACAATGCTGCTGTTGCCTAAAAAGTGTTGGAATTTCTTCTTTGAAAAGACTCTTAAGGACCTTGGTGCAAATACTGACATTTTATGATATTTATGCAAATATCTACTTTGCAATTTATTCAATATTGTTTATAATTTTTTGACATACAGATGCTTACGGAGATATACCTGTGTGATTTCTTCCATTGTTTTGTGGTTCTTTCCCATCCAAGAATCACTTAAATATTCATTTATATTTCCTTTTAGTTCTTTCACAGTTTCATTTTCACATTTGCCTCTTTAATCTATCTGGAATGTATTTCAGTATATACTACAAAGTGAGCATCTGATCTGTCTTTTTTTTTTCTCTCCCAAATGATTGCCTAGTTTTCCTAGTACTAGTTATTGAATAATCCATATCCTCTTTATTGGTGATGCTTCTTCATTTATTGGTATGTTGAATTTTCTTTCACATAATGTCACTGGACTTTAGCAGGATTTAAATATTAGAGTTCAAACTTGTGTTTGTTTTCCTGCAACTCTCTTTTCATTTTCTGACTACATTTTCCTCACAAAGCCCTGATCTCTGAATATATCTATTCTGAAATATTAGTCTATCAATCTTTTTTTAGAAATTCAAAATAATTGTAATTATTGTGGGTTTATTATATCAGGTACAGTGAAACTCTGTTATTACTCTTCTGTTACAAAGCTATTCTGGCTACTCTCTCCTGTTTTTTCCTCCAAACGGAAATTAGTTTTTCAACATAAAAAGAATCCCATTGGAATTTTGGTTAAAATCACAAACAAAAGATAGATGTATCTCAGAGCATAACAGATTTTTCAATTTATTAAAATTTTTTTTGGCTTTTCCCCACCTGCCAGTAAGGTGCTTGGTCCTTCCAAGGAAGCTAAGGCCTAACTGGGGTGAGGCTCACTTCGTCCAGCAACTAGCACCGCTCTCCTTCCACAGCGGCAGGGCTCACTCAGCCCACACCACTGCCTCCATCGCGGAGCTCGCCTGCGTCTACTTGGCCCTTATCCTGCAGGACCATGAAGTGCTGGTGATGGAGAATAAGATCAATGCCCTCATTAAAGCAGTTGGTGTTAATGCTGAACCTTTCTGTCCAGGCTTGTTTGCAAAAGGTCTGGCCAATGTCAACATGGGGAGTTTCATCTGCAATGTAAGGCTGGTGGACCTGCCCCAGCAGCTAGTGCTGTACCAGCAGGAAGTCCTGCCCCCTCCACCACTGTGCCCCAGCTGAGGAGAAGAAAGTGGAAGCAAAGAAAGAGGAGTCTGATGCTGACATGGGCTTTGTTCTTTTTGACTAAACCTCTTTTGTAACACATTCAATAAAAAGCTGAACTCTGTTAAAAAAATATTTTTGTTCTCCTGCTTTTTTTCTGTTTTATTTTTGTATAGATCCCTTCCAGTTCTTGCCAATATTATTTATATGTGAATAGATTTTAATATGTATTATTTCCCAACAAGTTATTATTGGGTTGCTGGAAAAGTTATTGATTTTTAAGGTAATTTTATAATAGCTTTCCAATCAGGTCTCTTGAGTTTTTTAGGCAAAAATATGATCTGCAAATAAAGACAGCTTTGCCCTAGGCTGTTTGGTTCAGTGGATAGAGTGTGGCCTGTGGACTTAAGGGTCCTGGGTTCGATTCTCATCAAGGGCACATGCCGGGGTTGCAGGCTCGATCTCCAGTGGCGGGCATGCAGGAGGTAACCAATCAATTATTCTCTTTCATCATTGATATTTCTATCTCTGTCTCCCTCTCCTTTCCTCTCTGAAATCAATAAAAATATATTTTTTAAAAAGACAGTTTTTCCTTGGCTTTTCAATATTTTAGCTATTATTTCTGTTTTTTTTTATCTTATTACAGAATTATTTCAGCACAATTTTAAAGATAGCAGGCAATCTATGGCAAAAAAAATATATAAGAGAGAGAATAGCAGGCATCCTTATACCCGATTTTAATAATTCCTCCACTGCCATATCATTAAGCATGGAAATTTAAAAATATACCCCAAAGTAGGTTGAATAGTAAGGTGAACCCATCACCTACCTCAACAATTGTCAATTTTTTTGCATATACTTTTTATGGGATTATAAATTAATCTAGCCTTTTGTATGCTAATTTGGAAATACCTATCAAAAAATAGATCCAGCAATTCCATTGCTAGGCATTAATCCTACAAGTACACCAGCCCCTCTAGGCAAAGATATTCAAGAATGCTCAGTGTAACTGTATATAACTTCAGAAAACTAGAAAATAGCCTAAATATCCCTAATAGGTGAGTAGAAAGTGGTGCATTCATATAATAGTACTCAGCTGTCATGAAAAATTTTGGTAGATTTATGTGCTGATGTGCGAAGATGTCAAAGTTACTTATACAATATGAATAGTATGATTCCATTTGTTGTTTTTCAAAGGAGACAGTCATATGCTTTTATGTGCATGGAAAAATTCTGGAAGGATATGTAAGAAACAATAGAGGTTACCTCTGGGAGGAAGAATGAAGAGTGGTTATGGGAGGTTGAAGAATTAACTTTATATCTTCCCCTCTTCCTAACAGTTTGGCTGTCTTACCATTATTATTATTATTATTATTATTATTATTATTATTATAGAGGCCCGGTGCACGAAATTCGTGCACGGGGGCTGGAGGGGGGTCCCTCAGCCCAGCCTGCACCCTCTCCAATCTGGGACCCCTCAGGGGATGTCCGACTGCCAGCAGACGGACATCCCTCTCGCAATCTGGGACTGCTGGCTCCTAACCACTCGCCTGCCTGATTGCCCCTAACCGCC